TTTTTTTGATAACAGTATACGATTTACATATACATTTAGTTCATAATCGCCAGCATATCACTTGGCTACACGAATCAGCCACAGTATGACACGCTGACGTTCGTGTTGCACTCGACACTACATAATAAATAATGTAAATAAGATGATAAGACTCCGTATGTGCAAAGTTTCATCAAAATCAGAATTTTCGGATTCGCGAAGTTCCCTTGTCAGCTTTGTCATCATAGTGAGTGAATTAGATAGGCACGATATGTAAAGAAAACAATACAGGCAAAAATATAAAAATAAATAAAGATTGAAATGACAATAGTATGTTATGCTTCAAATCTGCTACATTTATTTTAGCAAGTTCTGCTTGATTGATGCAATAATATTTACATCACGGCATAACACATTTATAATCTCTTTTTTTTCTGCTTTTCTGTCGACACTAGTTGAAATAACAGATTATGTTTAACTGCTGGCTACATTGTACAAAATGTTGGTAAAGGGGAAGGTAGCGGAGAAGGAAAGGAAGGAGAAGAACATAAAAACATACACTTGTGAACGACATCTGACACAGGAAGCTCACTGTAAGTAAAGACTACAAGAATAATCGTTCCACCTACAAGACCCCCCTTGTCCATTGCATCGCACGCGTTATCAGAGATATTTGATCACAAAAAATTGTGTTTGTAATCGTTCGGGTAGATTAATAATAAGTTATAAGTTTATACTTGTTGAATAGTTATAAGTTATAATACTTGAAATAATTTTACTTTTTTGCAATAATTTTATATCATGAATTTAAACAATCTTAAAGGTTTGTTATGAAAACTAATTTTAGTATAAACAGTAAGTAGTATATATATATTAAACAACAACTACGCTGTATCACGTTGGGACCAATACACCAGAGGGAAAGTGACAATTACAAGATTTGTCACTTATGCCATTCCAGCCTGCTACTCAAACAGCAACAAAAGTATACTGTCTTGCCGTTTCACCAGCTAGTACATAAGGGATCGGTTTACAATCAGCGAACCTGCACGAGCTGTGGTATCAACATGATAAGAATTCGATCAGTAGTACAATGTCAAGGATGCATAAAGGGATATGCAAGAGCAGGCAAGACTCTCTTCCAAGTCGGGTGGGGAGTGGCCGTCAAAAATATAATAGACCGTAAAATAAATTTTNGAGATGTTATACTGAAATTTTATGTGTTAGTCAATAAGGCCAATATATTGGCTTTCCGGTCCGGAACCCAAGGAGAACAGAAATGTCAAAATAATGTCAATTTGATGTCATATTGACCAAATTTTCATCATTTTTTGGTCTTAATAAAAATCTCGATTTCAAATGACTTAAAAATGACTTTTTATTGACTTTTTTTATTGTGCCGTTTTTGACTTTTGAAAATATCAATAATATTTAAAAAAAAAAATTAGTTTTTTGAAAGTATATTTTATATACTATTTAAGATGGCTGTTGTGTAAAAAAGTTTTATCAAACAATTATTTATTTATCTACGTAAATAATAATTTAAAAAAATAATTACTTGCAAAAAACGTATTAGATAAATGTATTTAGATAAGTTTATTATACATCTTTTATATAAAACATTATAATTTTGTTAATTTTAGTTCTAAAGACACATCATATTTTTTTACTTATTTTTGTATTATTTATTTTTTTAATACAATTACATGCAATGAAATTTAATACTGATGTTTTATTACAATAATAATAATTTAGTTTAATGTAAAATATGTACTTTATTTTTCAAACTGATATTTACCGCTTAACGCGTAACGCCTAACCAATCAGAGAGATTATGTATTTAATATGAAACATATATATTAAACATGAATAACAGTAGGATCGCACCCTTATATATAATTACATATGTATGGCGATAATTTTTTGTGATATATATATGCACCTAGGTGGTGCACTTCGACTTTTTCAAACCAAACTAAACCAAACATATGTGAAACATTTTTCGTTTTTATATATTTCTGGTATAAATAGGATAATGGCNACATCATTAGCAGGACAACTTAAGAAACTGCGAACTCCACAGACAAATTTATTACTGCAGGATAAAAAACGTCCCAGTTTGCTGTTTGATCCAAAAGAAGCTGCGAATTTGGATCGAGATACCGTACTGAGTATAGNTTAGATTCTCATTCATCATATTTTGTAAAACTGAGTTTGGGTGTTCTAGGGAACTCGACAGCTACAAAAGAATCAAGTTATTGATTTGTAAAAACTCAAATTTTACATGTTTTTCTAAAAATTTAGTAGTACACAAATGATTTTAGTTTTTGCATTGTTTTGATTTACATAATTGTCTTGAACATAATTTTATACATCTTTTTTACTTAATTTATCAATTGTTTCAGGTCAGAATGGTGTAGACGAATTAGTAAAACTCTCCTCAGTCTTTTATGACTTCAGAACAACACTATTTGCTCAAAGTGCTGTGAATCCCACTCACAAAGCTCTAGAATGGTTGATACACAGATATCACATCCATCAATACAATCGAGATCAATTTATTCTCCTAATACTGCCGTATCATGAGACTCGCATGTTTGTTAGGTATATATATTATACACACATACACATATGTACATATAACTTTTTATATTGATGATAGAAAAAACTTTATTTTTTTTAAGAGCTTTGCAGTTGGTGAATCTGTCGGATGAAAATGACAAATGGAACTGGCTGGCGCTTCTGCAGAAACGTCGTATTCCAATGTCTTCGGAAAGTCTTGTTGCTCGTTTGAGTACAGATAACGAACTTCTGAAGACACTGTGCAATCATGTGATAACTGCCACGGATACTTACTCCCAGCAAGCCACTTGCTTGAGCACGTTGTATGCGTTTTACACTACTTTGGTGTTGGGTGTAATTCAACAAGCGTCAACTGTTACCGAGGTTCAGATAAATCACATTCTGCCTGCTCTTTTGCGTGGTCTGAGAAGTCCTATTACTGATTTCATCTCCAGCAGCTACATGATAATCGCAACAGTCACGACAAAGGTAATTAATGTCTTCATCTATCATTTATGTCTTGAGAATTTTTATGATTAACGTTTAACTTTGGTAAAATAAATATACAAAATTGTACATTATTTTGATATTATGGAACTTTAGATGATGTTTAATGCCGATACTATGGAGAAGTTATTGTTGAAGACCTTCAAGAAGACACACTTGAAGAAAGAAGCTACAACTCTTTTGCTCTATCTCTATCAATCTCCGTTTAATCGTCTAACCGTTGTGCCACAAAGTTTGGTCCATCGGTTGTCCGATCTGTCTTGGTTCGTCGAAACCGTAAGCGATGTTTGCTCAACGGGTGTCAATGCGTCTCGATTCGTCGTATGTTTTCTTCTAGAAGCTTGTAAGATCGTTACCGAAGATCCCCAAAACACCGCCGGTATTCAAAGCACGATCGACGATATGTTAGTGCGCGTCAAACTCGACAACGACGCAGTAGACGCCATTCTGACGAGCGTACTAACATGCGAATTTTTTAAGAGTGAGGCTTCGAAAATTGCGAAAGATTTCCTGGCGCGATTCTATCAGAGCTTCGAACGCAGCTATCCCTTTAAAAGAAAATATGCTCAAGCTTCTAAAGCTAATGTTAAACGTTTCTGTGAAGCTGAAATCCAAGATCAGTTGATCGAGATGGAAACTATATTAAACAAATTGGATGGAGTTCAAAATCTCTCTCATATTTTACCCATGCATATTGAAGAAATCAATAACGTTCAAGATAATGACTTAATTGTTGAAGATGTGTTACAAAATCCACCATACACAACACAAATCATGAAAATATCCAAAAAACCAACATTTATCATCAAATGAAGGTACGTATACTTATGCATACTCATGTTGTTTCGTGAATTAGTTTTGTATTTTTGTAATAATATTTGTACATATATAATTGTTTGGGGAAAAATTCTATAATTTTAGTTTTACAAGAAAGATATTTATTTCCTACAAACTGCAGTACACGTGCAGTGTCGGAAGAGCCACTGCAATCAGAGAAGTCTAAGCCTGTTAGGAAATTACATAAAATGTTTCAACATTTAGACACAGAAAGTTGTTTTCATTCTTTTGATAGTAAGTTAATTAATTTTCAAATAATATCGAATTTTTTTATACAAATGATCTTATTTCTCATGTTTTTCGCATAATTTATTTTATGGACTAACAGCTTCTCAAAAGTGCTTGTCTTCTCAATTGACTATGGATGACAATGACCTACCTTCAACGTCAGATAGTTCTTCAGTAAGCACACTGTCTGTACATGTTCAGCGTGATATCTTAAAAAGAAAACAAGATACTTTCTCAAGGGACATTAAGAAAACGAAATTATCTGCGGCTCTTGATAATTGTAAGTTAATTGTATACTTTTCCATAAGGGAAGGCCTTTAATCAATCAGTATTATGTGTTGAATAACGAAAAGTAAGAAATCACAAGCTTTTCTTCTTTTTTTCTTGCAACTTATCATAAAATTAATTAATTCTTTTAGCGCATTATTACTTGTGTTCACGAAAAAATTCTTCTTTTAATAAAATATACGAAAAATTTTCTTCTCAATTTATATATTAATACAAATTTTAAATTAATTACAAATCTTGATCAAATATTATAAGATTTATTTTTGCTGAACATATAACAATATAATATTCTGTTATTTTAATAAAATATATTTAAATATATAATACTACTATATTTTTTTAAAATTATATGTAAAACTATATGTTTTCTTGAGAAAAGCAGAAAAAAACCTATCTTTGATATATTTTATAAACATACCTTATCAAACACAAGTAATAATATGCAAAAAATTTAATTTATTTTGATGAATCAAATCGTGCATTGTTAAAAAGATATAATTTTTTTAACGTNACAATTTAATGATTGTAATATTAAATTAAATAGAAGCGAAACAATTACATTTTTTGTTTTATTTTTTCTATTGTTCTTTAGGTGCCATAATGGGTCGTTTTACAAATCAATCATTGAAGAATGCTGAAGAATCCATGAAGCGTTGGTTGAATACCTCTAGTCAACGTAAATAAGAAATATATATTATTATATATTTATTAAGTTCATTAAATGCAGATTTGATGATGACAACATTAACCCATTTTAAGAAACTTCATAGTAATGGCTTTTTTCTTCTAATTTATATACCTGCATTTATATACACATTACTCTTTCTAAAAAAAAACATACTTCGCATTTTGTTTTTAGTTTGGTTTTATCACACATGGTTTTATCACACATTATTACATAACTATAAATTTTTATTTTATTTTACAGTATATTTACTATAAGTTTTCTGTGTTTATTTCAACTAATTAGAAATTTAAAGTAAAATTAAAGTTTACTTTTGATAGAAACTCAATAACAGCACATAAGAATTTTATAATAAAAGAGACATATATTTATGAATTAATAGTTTATAGGAAAAAAGTTACTTTTTTCTAAACTAGATTACTGTGCAATAACGTTGTTGAAGTGACTGTATGATCTGTGTTCTTATATGATAATAAATATTTTTATTGATAAATGTATAAACCATATATAAGAAAAAAATATGTAATAAATATATAATAAATACATAAATGATTGAATATAACGTTTGATTAATTACTATTCTAATGTTTCTATCATATCAGTAATGCTAAACGGTCAAAAAAACGTCAAAATTATGTCATTATGATATAAATATGACATCATGAAAATATCAAAAATTTAGGCAATTTGACGTCATTTTGATAAACTGAAATTTGATCATATTTTGATATCATTTTGATATCACTTTGACTTTTCTGTTCTCTTTGGGAAGGGATAGGCCCGCATATAAAATTTTTTTCACATCAATTTGGAAGTATAAATATGCGTTTCCGTTGTATTTTTCGACGTAGAATCCAAATCTGATGTCAAAAATACAATAAACCTGAAAACAATCCCTATAAAATTACAAAAACTACCCTTTCTATCACGCAATTTAATTTTTTTTAGTTGGAAGTGCAGATACATGTTTTCGATGTATTTTTCGATGTAGAATCAAAATCCAATGTCAAAAACACAATACACCTGGACATAACCCCTATAATATTACAAAAACTACCCCTTTCATCACGTATGATTTTGAAACACCCTCTTCTTTTAAACACGGGCTTGGGACCGTCTGTGGCAGAATTATGTTTCTTTTTTTTATTTTAATTTTTTTTGTTTTTTTTTATTTTTTTTTTGTTTTTTTGTTTTTTTTATTTTTTCATTTTTTTTATTTTTTATTCAATTGTATGTTTTTTGTTTTTGTTTTTTTTGTTTATTTTCTGATATTTTTTTTAAATTTTTTAATTGCTTTTTTTAATTTTAGAAATTACGACAATGATCGTTTAGTGTGATAAATTTCAAAGCAAGGTTCAATGCATAAAGTTTTACAACATTTTTTATACTCATATGATGATTGACTTCTCTTTTTGTGTATAGTGCATAGAACACATTGACGTGATAGCGTTTTACCATCATTTGAAGCTTGAATTTTTCTGGGGAAATGTCGTCCATTCAGTCTAAGATCAGGCGATGTAAATGATGAAACTTCTTGAGAATTTACTTGCAAAATATCTCTTACGACGCTCAATCAAAAATCAGGAAACGAAATCGCATTTTTAGTGAGCATCTTGAATAAACTGTGGGCATTTATCAACATCAAATCAATTAAATGAAAAAACAATTTTCTATACCATTTCATACATTTTCTAATAGATTCTGTCAAAGATAATTGTCTGTCAATATCATCGATTTTACCCATATTTTTGTTTTAATCCACGATACAAATGGGTTTTATAATATCTTCATTGGTTTTGTAGTTTTTCCTACCAGTTTTACAAAACTGGTGTTCGTGAATACTTGTCAATACATAAACTTCCTTTTTATCCATCCATTTGATTACCATCCAAGTATCGGTGTGGGCAACTTCTGTTTTACCACGATCTAGCTTTGAACTGAGAGTTGGCATTCCTTTACGATTTTTTTTACAGTTCCATAAAGACCAGTACTTCTGTCATGTAAGTAGTCTGACAGTTGTAGAGATGTATACCAATTATCAGTGTATAACACACGCCCTTCGTTACAATAAGGGTGCATGAAATGTGCAACAATATCACCAGAAACGCCTAAATCAAATTTTTCATAATCAGTGTCTGAGCCAGTATATACTATAA